AAGGCATGGAAGAGAAAACAGATCTGTGGATTGGACAAAGCAGGTTCATTCCATGGCCACCAAGATCACCTGAACTAACCCTAGAGGACTTTTTCTTGTGGGCTATGTCAAAGACATCGCTTACTGGAGAAAAGTAGAGAATCGATCAGGATCCAAAGAACAGAATTGTCCGAGCTGTCCTGATAGTTATGCCTAACACTCTGCAAAAGGTGTGGTAAGTGCTCGAACATAGCTTAGACATCTACAGAATCACAAATGGTGCTCATGTGGAATTGCAATAGCAGGTTGAAAAATGTTTGAGTTGCACTTCATTTTACTGTTTTAATCATTTTATTTGAGGCATAATTTAGAGAGATATTAATTTTTGAATTATTTCCATACCTTTTGGGACACCCTGTATATATATTTGAAGAAATGTTATGGAGCACATGATCAAAAAGCCTGAGAAAATTTTGGAGTGCTTTTTTTAAATAAAATTCATTGCAGTTGCACAAAAAAAATTCAGTTTTTTCACAGTGCATGTTTGCCAAAACTGTGAGGCTGATCTATAAATTCTGCTAATTCTCTTTTGCAAAACCTGCTGAAAATAGATTGACCTCAAGAAGAAAATCTGAACTATGATTGACTGTGAAAGATTGTGGATGAGGCCATCAGCTCCTTATTCTTGCTTTTCAAAAGGCCTCTTCTGAGGAAACTAAATCTACTTTTATCAAATTTTGCCTGGTACCAATTTCTTAATCTCAACCTCTAGGTAGTGCTCATGGAAGGTGCAAAAGCATAATTATGAAACAGCTTAAATTATTTTTTTTTTTTGCATTGGCAAGGAATTTCACTTAAAAAAAAAAAAGCACTCCATCATTTTCACATTTTTTTGTCAGTGTATTCCTTATCATCTCATCAAAAAGAATTTGTAAAATAAAATTTGACACATAGCACTTAAGCACTATAAGCATTCTGGGATTCTGAATTGATCATAAGACCAAATCCTAAAATAATATTCATGAAATTAAAAAAGTAAAGGCTAGAACTACTCATCAATTTCATCAATTTCTGGCATCAATTTCTGCACACCCTGTATATGCTATTCCAGAATAGCCTGTGATGCAGATGTAGAACACATCACATCTCATACCTTAATAAATGGCCGTAGTGGAATGTCTTCACAGAGCTCATTGAAGTAATGGTATTTGTTTGCACATGAAAGCAGAGCTTCTGCACAAGGATGGTTGTGGAGAAGTATCACCTGAAACATTAAATGCATGCTATTGAATAATTGCTATCAGTAGAGGCGAGCATTAATGTTGCATGACATGCTTGTACAGAATCAGTTCTGAGACAATAACACCTTTAACTCACAGTCAGCCCTTTCCTGTGGCGAATATCAGAGAGATCAGGTGCAAAATTTACATCCCTGGAGATGAGAATCAGAGTGGCCTTAGCTCCATGTGTGTCAGAAAACCGACGCATTGCTTGACACAGTTTGTCATCTGCTGCATTTTTGCATGTTGCAGCCACATGGATGACATTGACCTGAGGTAACATTAAAAATTAAAAAAGAAAGGGTTGCACACTGGGAAAAGGTTTGCTGATGGGTACCACCAAAAATGTCTACCTGTGCATTATTGAGTTCTTGAATGACTTGTGGATTCTCTTTGTTGATGTCACAGACACACATAAATTCAGCCTCTCTATGTCCACTAAAAAACTTATTGCGTATTGCTTGCACAACAGCCAAGGCAGACTTTCCTCTAGGTACCTAGAAGCATCATAAAGAAGCTGAGTGATTCTCCTCATCTTAGGTGGAAAGAGAAAGGGTTCTGGAACCCTTCAGAGCTATTAATTTTGCATTGGATAAGGGTGAATTCCAAACAATTGAATCTTTGATGTAGTCTGCATGTCAACTAGACTAGACTCAGGAGTCTTAGCAGGGTGATGAAGAAAAGAGAGATAGGTCCATCCTGCCTGCAGCTTATTGAGTGCTGATTTATTGAAATGGGATAATAAAAGTCTCACCTGGACATTTTCAATGTCCCAGAAGACTCCAATAGGAGGTAGGTTCCTTGAATTCCGAAAGTCAACTACGGCTTTATTGGCATCTGGACCTGAGGAATCATCACTATCTTCATAATCTTTCACATCTTCAGGGCCTTTCCATACTTTCTTCCCCTTGGAAGAAAGCAACACTCCTTCTGCAATTAAGGTCTCTCTTACAAAAGTGGCTGTATGGCCAGCCTTTCTTCTTCTTCTGTTCTTCTCCATTATCTCCATATTGTCATGTCTGCACAGATCATCATAAGTCAATAATAAATAAAAGCAGGTACTCAATAGAGATTCCCTTCAATTTTTCTGCATGAAATATAAATAAAAAAATGCATAATTACCTCTGAAAAATAATGCTGTAGTCATTTGAATGAAGACAGGAGCTTCCAGAAATGCACTGTCAAATGTTTAAAGATACTACAATGTTATCACAGACAGGAAGGTAAGGCAACAAGATCAAGGTTCATCATCCGATCCCAACCACAGCCATCCTTCGTTACACCAGCCCAGTGAGGGCTTCAACCTTGATACACCTACCAAAGATAATTTTCACTCTTTCTGCAACACCAAGATTAGCATACTGTACATCTTTGTAGCAATAAAAGCAGTATGGCATGTCAAAATTGATGACACCATCATCAGCTTTCTCCAAGAGAAGCCCTGCCATAATTTGACATCTGGATTGGAATCAAGCCCAAATGATTTTTATCACCTCATCAATAACATATCACAAGTAGGATGTAATAGAAATGTTAGCTGGCTTCTTGCTACAAAAGCAAGCAAGTTCCTGTCTCTACAAGCTCATAGTTTGACTATCCTGAAGTTTTCTTCACCTTAAAATATTTTTCAATCAATTAAAAATATGAATGCAAGAATAAAAACTGTAGCCAAGAGACAATATCTACATACTTTCATATTCCATAAACTTCAATTATTCATTCATTTCAGCTGATTTTATCCCTCATCAATCTGATATCTTTCAAAAACAAAATGAGAGGGGGATCCAGTAGGCCTAAGACAAATACAGAGGGAGGAGAAACAAGAAAATTCAATCATGGCAACTAAACAACACAATGACCTCTATAAGTCTATATTCAAGGGCATTGTGAAGCCCTGGACTAAGATTCTGATCCATCTGATTCTGCCTTTCTTCTGGCTTCCAGTTCCTCCTTTGAACGCATGCCAGTCCCAACAGGTCCATGTCTCCTCTCCCAGACCATGCGATGCTTCTGCTTAGCAAATGCTTTTCTAACATCTCCTGCATAACCTAGATCCCCATCTGTTTGGGTAATAAAACAGAAATCAACATCAGAAAAGCACCCTTTTGCATGAGTTCAGACTTGGTTTTTATGATGATGGGATATCCCTAATATTTAAGTAAGCCATGAATGACAAGAGAATGTATTTCCTTAGGGAAAACTTAAAACTTACATTTGATGTACCAGTTCTCTTCTGCTTCCTTGAAATCCTGTGTCACCTTAACACAATTTTCATCAGCATCTGGGCCATTTGCAAACCTGCACTCCTCCATCCTCTGACGCAAAATGGCCAGGATATTGTTCTCCACAAACCTAGATTGGGGATTGTCAGAAATTGAGCAAAAGTTCCCTATAAACAAGGGACCAGTATTTCTTAATTAATTAATTAATAAATGGCCTCTTCCTAGCTTTATTATTTAAAAAATGAACAATTTTTACTCAGTCCAGAATAAAAGAAACAAGGAATAGCAAATCAATACTAACTTGTCTCTCCTGAACTGTTCCTGTGCTTCAAATATGCAAAGGAGATCATCAGTGTAGCACTCATCTATGGTTGGTACTCGCCGAAACTGCCGGTGATACCAGTAATAAGTCTTCTGATTCGGCACCACCACATTTTCTGTGAGAAAAAGTAAACACAAATTAACTACAGACCTATGCTTTACATATCATGTCAATGAACAAATTAATGGTTGACAGGATTTTCCTTTGTTTCAGTCCATTTTTCTCATTAAAAGCACAAAGTAACAGTACACAACCAGAATTAATACAATTCCCAAAGAGAATTTCCAAGGCATTCTTTTTTTGTACTGACTTTACCAAGTGATGAAGTTTCAATCTATTTTTATGAATCATGATTATTTTTCTAACCCTTTCCAGTCTAATAAGTAGCAGTTACTCAATACTGGAATAACACAGAGGATAATCAAGAATACACAATGCTTACTGTGCCAGGGAGTATAGATATTGTCTCAGTGAGCTTGCACCATATGACACGAGGAGCAAAATGTATTTCAACAGGAAATACCATAAACCTGGTCTAATAGACACCAATACCTGTTTGCTTTTCAACAAGTTCCACAAGAATGAGTCCATAGCATATTAAGAACATTCCATGTGACCAAATTTATCTGAAGACTTCATTGCTTAATTGACAGTGTAATGAATGCATTCAAATGCAATCAAGGAAAGTCCATACAATAAGCATTGACAGAACTGGAAATTACCCCATTGATGCTGTGCAAAATCCTGTGGTTTACTCTTAAGAGGTGGACATACCACATCAGGGTTAAACACAGCTTGAAGGAAGAGGGTTAAGCAACTTGGCTTGCAATGCGTCAAAATCATCATGAAGCTATGGAAAATGATGATCTATTGGAATATGCATTTTTCAGTGATGAAGCTTCTTTCCATATTTGCAGAAAGGTCAATAGAAAACTTAATTTTGCCACAACATATATATACATCATACCCACTTAGACCACTGTGCAGAAATTTTACAGATTTTTTTGGTTAGGTGCTAAAAGGATTTTGCAATGTTATACTAATCAATTAATAAAAATTCACAGTCAGCCAAATATAATAAAACAGAGAAGTGTCATGATGACATGCTGAATATTTGAAGCATTTTGGGAAAGTTGTCATGACAGCTCAAGGTAGGAAGGGAGTTAACAGTTGGGGATATAATTTTCTTCCACCACTTACCAATATATACATGCAGTGGAGGTTATATTTGCAAGTGCCATTCATTATGGGGACTTAGCTTATTGTACTGGTAATCCTACTTCTACTTTCCAGAAAGATTTTGCTTAGGAATTGCTGAGAGATTTGAAAAAAAAAAAGCACAAGGCAATGCTTTTGCACTATGTGAAAAGCAATAGTCATGCAGTCTCTTTTAGTGGTCTTTCTCTACTGAAGAACAAGGAGATTAAGATTCCTGCAGCAGGCCATTTACACTTATTGGGACAAAAGTCCCATTCTTAGTACTCAACAGATAAGATTTGGGAAGTTCTCATTGATGGGTTGGCTAGGAATGTAGGATACATTTTCCATGTTTTTTTATGCCTACTTTTCAAACTTGTATTTTAGCTAGAGGAATCGAAGCTATCCATAATTGCACTTGCAGAAGGCCAACCCAATATGAAAAATCAGCTTATAGGGAAATTTTGCTAAAACAATCTGAGTATCCTGTCATTGCATTTCCTTTGTCTCGTCTGATGAGGTCCAATTTAGCCAATTTTTAACTCTCCTTTTCTCCTTAAATGGCTCCCTTCTTCAACCTCATCCATAAATTCTTTTGTTTGATAGCAAGTGCATTTATTGACAAATAATAAACTTTAGTTTTCCTGTCTGCTGGTAGGCTAAGGCTAGGGCTAGGGCCACAGAAAACCATGCATTCTCTTTTGAAGGTGAGGGAAGCACTACCCAAAGACACAAGATAGCCCAGAAACTTGGCCGACAAAGGATAATTAAAAAAAGGTAAGTTCACCTCTAAACCAAGTGACTGGGCGATCGATGAGGTCATAGAAGAACTTGGATGTCTTCTCAATTATATTCTTCTCTCGAATGGGATAGCTTTTCAGGTCTACCTCTTCTCCATGCCCCATGATTTATCTATACATATCATCATGAAATACAATTGAGCATGGCAATGCCATCTTTCAGAGAAATTTGCTTAGCCTATGTAGAATAACTAGGCCCCCAATGTTGGGGCAAAATGTTTTTGAGTGACTTCGTGGGCCTACGTTTGTTACTCCACGTTAGTAACGGGCTACGTTTAATAACTTTGCAATTTTTCAAATTTACTCCATGGGGCTAGGCCAGTGTTCGAAAATGGTCTAGGCTAAACGTTATTGCGCTTACGAGTAGAAAAGTTCTTGTCGGGAAAGTTCATAAAGTCAATCTGAACACACCGTAGGCCTAATTTTTTTTTTCCAAACATGGATAGCAAGCGCAACTCAGCCTAAGTAATGAGTGTGTGACTCGAGAGAAAAACGTTTAACTCGGCAGAACAAAAAGCATAGGTCTACACTACTTGCTCATCTTCAGCCAGTCTTCAGCTGGGTGAGAAGATTGTGAAAACCACATTTTCACCAACTTGTCTATGAGGTGCAACACCAAGTCTCAGAACACAAGGTACACCTAGAAACAGATGCTGCGCATGACAGGCTTCCGTCCGAGAAGATCCCGAACCAACACGGTGCCGAACAGCTCTAAGCCTGGATCACATGGCAGGCCACAGCGGAGTGTATAGGCTTGCCCTTGAGTAGACGTCCGTCCAGCTACAGTAAGCGGCGTTTGCAACCAAGAATGGGCTGAGAGGAGGGGAGGGGGGGTATATGCCTGAATCCTCCCATTCCAACACTGGTAAATGCATGCAAAATATGGTCTCAGCGTCCGCCACCCAGCCCCGGGAAAAGGATTTTGAAATCTTTGTTCTCCCTCAGCTTCTCCAAGCCCTCTTCTATGAAATCCTCGCCAAACCTCACCACCGATTAACCCCCTTCCAGCATACGACAAAACGGGTTGGCAACAGGCGCGGAATTAGCGGTAAATTAATATTAAGCACAAGAATGGGAACTATCGTTTCCGGTTCGGAAGATATTGTCAAAACACGGTCCGCGATGCGTGCGTGTGGAGACGTTCAACTTCACGTAAAGCTTCGCCCTCTCGCGAGGATCCTGCATGAGTCTCCCATGCAATTTTTTTACCCAATATTCCACCATTTCTTAACGTTGTCGTCTAAATAAAATCATACGGATTGTGATAAAAAATAATAATCCCGGTCGGAAAATGGGAATATTATGCAATGGCAGATTTCATAGTCTTATTTGCGCTGAATGACTTCAGCTGAAATAAGTGGAATAGGCGTTGGTTTGTTATGGAGGCAGTTAAAAATTACTAATTTACAAGTTTATATGTTTGATTGATATGCAAATCTCTTGACATCAGTATTCTTTTCCAGCGATCACATTTACCCCTGCCTTCTAATAGCCAGTGGGCGTATTGTTCATTTATGGGAATCGGAAGTACCAGAGTTGAAAGCGGGCAAATAAACTTTAAAACATGGGTGGGCAATTATTTTGGCTGAAGGGCCACTTCGCGAGTTTTGGTGAGCTTCAAGGGTCGCACTCCGGTATCTGGGAGAATACCTCAATAGCACTACCATTGCTTCTCGGTCCTATTCCTTCCTTTGCAATAAAAACTGATCGACAGCTTCTTCCGCCGCATCACGTTTTTCGACCATCCGGATTCTCACAGAGAAGATTGCCGAATATATCGCTCTCAAAAACATTTCATGTCGTTCATCTTCGATCGTGTTAAAGTGCATTTGGTGTAGCCTATAGGACTGTCTGTGACAAAATGCACCCAAATGGCTCGAATCCAAGAAAATCTCACTCGGTCGGAACAGCTTGATTCCCAATCTCAGATTGCCACAAATCCGAGAGTTGGCAGGTTTGACAGTTGGGCCAGGCTATCCTGGGTTGCATGACAACTTCATAATTAATAACTTGAGTCCCAAGAAAGCGCCATTTTAGAAAAGGTTGTAGTCGAAACATGGCTTTTTGAGGAGAGTTGAGGAGAGGAAAGGAAGAAGAAGAGGGCCTAATAATGACAAACGAAATAAGCAAGCTCAGCTCCTTCATTGATTAAATTTGGTCCTTTCTATGACTGAACGAAATTAAATTTTTCCTTTTGCTAGACAGAGTGGCTGGATAGAATCATTTGGCAAGTCGTATTTTGCCCACCCCTGCTTTGAAATATCTCTATAATCGAAATTTGGCAGGATGTGCCAGGCAAGGGCGTCGCAAATTGCTCCTTAATGCATGCTGCCTTGATCGCATATTTTTTTTTAGTTGTTTTGCCTGTCAGGACAGTACACTGGTGGAATTGGCATTGTCAGATGAGAAGAAAGAATGTTAAGTCGAAGATGTTACACTTGAGGGGAGAGATCTGGGTCGCTGAATGATGATTCAGACATGAAGATTCAGCAGATTCTTCAGCAGAAAAAAAGAGGCAAGAGTCTCCTTCAACAGAGGAAGACGACATCGATAGCCTCTCAGACGCGGAGGGGCTCTCGCAGGAGCGGACACAAATGTGTTGAGGGTCGTGGCGCCCTGTGCGGCGGCTAATTTCATCATAGGTTCATCAATATGTGAATCTTGTTAGAGGATGACGCTTGATCTGATTTCCAGAGGTGATCGGTGACACAAGACCTCCAGTGTTGTTCTTTGCCTCTTGCTGATCCCGACTTCATGTTCTGTCCGGACACGTTCCTCGAATGGAAAGCGATTGGATTTCAGTGCGAATCGTTTGGTGCGCTCGAGTGGCGGAGAGTTTATTTCAGGGCAGCACTTTCCACTTTGCCTTATTGCAAGAGATGTCGAAGTTTTAGGTAAGGGGCGATTGCCACGGGTTCAGAGGGTTTATCTCGATGGAGAAAACTTTTAAAACGATCTTTATTTGGAGCAAGTGGATGTTGATGAGAGTGCCGATTATTCTCGGCGCCCCCATTTTCTTCGTCTCTGAATTCATGATAGTCATCGTTGTCCCTAGTGACCCCCAGTTATTCGTATGCCCTTCCCAAGCCTATCATCACTCTTGTATACCATTACCATTACCGATACCATTACTAATTTGAATATAGGATTCATTCGTCGTTCAGTTTCAAGTAGGAACTCACGCGTCATTCTTTCGTTGTATGCGGCGCTGGTGCGACCCCTTTGGAATATTGCATCCAGATTTGGAGGCCTACTATGATAAAATGAGGATGAATTACATAATAAGGATGGCGCTCGAGAGGGTACAGAGGAGGGCCACAAGAAAGATCGAGGAGGTTAGGGGACTTCCGTACGTTTAGGAGTGCTGGGTACTTGCTCGAGAGAAGGTTAAGGAGGAGCGATCTCATCCAGGCTTTCAGGATAATTAAAGGAATAGATAATGTCGAACGTGGTAGGTTCTTCCAGTTCGATGGCAGCAAGAGAACCAGAGGTAATCGACTCGAGTTGCGTAAACCTCAGGTGCGGCTCAGGTCGAGACAGAACTTGTTGAGTGGTGAACGCGTGGAATGCGTTAGAGGACGACGTAGTGGCTGTCCGTTCCTTGAGTATCTTTAAGAATAAACTAGATACTTTTATGGACAAGCAAAAAGGGGGGACAATGTTGACGTAAGGAACTAGGTAGTAAGAAACTAGGATAGGCGAAAAAAAAATTACAAAGGTACAAAAATATTTAGCTTTAAGAGGAGTAGACCTACCCTAAAATTAAGGAACGCTCGACCTCGACACATGGTATCCTAATGGGTGTTATCGCCACTTGATACCACTAAACTACCTTGATACTGATTGCATACAGATAATTGTACATTGGTTTTGCAGCGACGCCATCCACCCCCCTTCCTGGATTTTATTGCCTTAATTTTTGACAGGTGATGATTTTGATGGCATTTTGCAGTTGTAAGTACCTACTGATCACATTTGCCTTGAATGACCTCGTATTAAAACCGAAAAGACCGACACGGTTAAGACAGAGAACAAAACCGAAATGAACAGGAAGAAGATAAGAGGGAGAGTTATTCATCAATATCACACCTTCTCGAAAAGACTCCATGTTAAAAAGCCTTCTATTTAGAATAGAGCAATTATGATGATGGTTTAAATTTGGATAGAGAATGTCAGCATACAAAAGCTCCATAACAGAGACTTAAAGGGAAGACTAAAAGCAGAACAGAAAAGAACTACCGAACAAAAGGACTCTTCACTCCGAGTCAAAAGAAGAAAAATGCGGACTTTTTTTTTTCATCACAGACCGATAGTGCCTAGTCCTCAACAGGTCATGGGAAATACTTGCCAAAAACAATCCTTCCTCCAGAATGGCCCGGAATCTCCTTGGGCAGGGTTACCAAGATAAATGTGTCGAAGAGTTTCAGTGTCTCCCCCTATGTTGTCTGGAGATCAGCCACCCCATGAGAAGTAAATATTTCGAGGGTATTAGAAAGTGACACTATCAGCTATTTATTCGCCATTTTGCTTCAGCTCTGAGAACCTTGTTTGTCCAGGTACCCGTTAGATGGCTTCCCATTTGTCTCTTTTTTTTCAATTCATGTCAGCTTTCCTTTCGTGTCACTGAAACTCTCGAACACTCACATAACACGTTAAAAAAATTTTCAGAAGCGAAGGCTCACACAGGCCAGAAAGCCAGCAAATGGATGGTTTACGCCAGTCAGAACCAAAGTGGGGGAAAGACGGAAATGAAATGCTCAGATTTGTTGCATTCAAGAAAAGGTAGATGTTCGGTGACGCCTCCTGCAGTTATTTGCAAATGAATTCGTGCCACCTATAACATGGGCTCCAAAGGCGAAATTAGTCTTCTTCCATGGGAAATATACCCTCGCTCCCTTGCATGCAGCCTAGAGATAACATGGTCGATTCACTTGCAAATCGCTACAGCGGCATGTCATGGGAGTAGATGATACAACAGTGGTGAAAACCTTAGGATTAGTGATGAGTCTTCATCGACACTTCAAGGAAATTCCTCCTTGTCAGAAGGTTGTGTGGAAGTTGAGGAGTCGCACGTTTCTCACAAAAATGTCACATTTTGGAGCATGTTTGGCAGATGTGACCAGGTTTCACTTCTGTCCTACTAAGTGCTGAACCCAATACCATTTTGTACCAAATGGCACGAAGTACTTTGCACTGAAAATGATTTGACAGTCTACCTGCAGAAGATAAGAAAGTTCTCTAAGACGAGCATATCACTTCAGAAACAGAAAATCATCGAAATTATGGGGATTTGTAAATATTTCAAATTTGAACATTTTGATGCATGAAACAATGTTTAAAAAAATGGTGTTAAAGTTAATTGCAATGTAATTTATTATTATTTTTTTATTTTCGTATTAGATACTTTTTTGTTTATAATTTTGGTATTAGACATTTACAGACTTGGTTTTGTTACCAGGATTCCAATTGTTGGAAATATGCGCAAAATTGTTCAAAAAGAAGTCAAATTTACTGGTACAAAAAAAAAACTAAATATACATCACGGGCCTGAAAACTCAAAGCAACAGCGTGAACCATTCATTATCTCATAATCGATAGCCATTCAATCAATAGCGTTGTTTTACCTAAGGCAAAGTTCGGGGCAGCTTATCACGAGAAGCGTTGGAGCTAGAATTGTAATACGGGATTCTTTGATGACGTAGGATGACGTGCTTTTTTTTAAAAAGAGCAAATCCCTCCCTGAGGCACAATCACCATTTGATTACTTGAGCTGGAATGCCGAGAAAAGCTGAATGCAGACGTAAACCCCGACAACGACGTCCCGACATGGATGAATGACACGTGCGGCGCATGCCCTGTCGTCTCAAGGGATGGGCTGTGACAGGGCATGACCGGCGATCGCGATGCGTTGTTAATGCTGCGTAGATGAGGAGTCACGTTAACATCGGCGTCAGAGTCACGTGCTAACGATTCCTGCTCTCAGGACGTCAATGTCGCGCGCAGATGAATCCTGCTCTTTCATATTTTAATGAAAGAAATGGTGTGTTAACAGGCTATCGAAGTCCAATTCGCTTTAATCGTAAGCCCTTCTCATTCCAATCTGGATGCTAGCTGTCCATGGCTCCAGCCCAAAAGCCAGGTGGGGGTGGGGGAAACTAAGAATTAAAAAAAAAAAAAGAGCCAGACGAAAAAACTCAATCCTAAATGACCCGACCCGAGGAGTATCACTAAGATTTCGGCACTGAAACGGCCTGCGGGTCGGGTCGGGTCGGACTGATCGGTCCCGTCGCACGCCGCGGAGGACCCTATTCCAATAAGAACTATTTGCACCTGATCCTACATCTGTGGTTGTGTAAATCTCCGTCTTCAGTCCTGTGAAGCGATTGCAAGTGTCCAGGTCCCTACCATAACTGGTCTTAAACCGTTCATGGCCATTATTTTCTGTGAGAAATATACGTATCTTACTTTCATTTCCAGGCTTCCCATCTTCCCATTCATTGCTAGAGTTCCTTCACTTCCCTTCTTGTTGACGCTGACTTGAGTGTTTTATTGTGGTACCTGAGACCTTGTTATCGTGTTTTCATTTTCGTTTCATTGCCCTCTGCCTCTGACGAAATGATTTGGTTACAGGCCGAGGGCGTAGCCTAAGGAAAGGTGTAAGCCTAGGCTGCTGAAGTTGAGACCATTTAAATTTGTTTTGATATGTGAGACTCATTCATTCTTTTGTGTATAGAGTTATACCTATACTGATATAGAGTTAGACCTATGTTGGGACTGTGTCTAGCCTTATATTAGGCCAGCCTGACCTTATGAATTAGAAAAATATGATAGTTCACTTAAAATATTAAACCACTTGAATTTAAAGGTGGGCAGTGTATACTGAGCTTTGGTGGGCTTTGGACTTAGGCTTTGGCTGAGGACATCAGCTTTTGCAAGCACTACCTCTTTGATGGGTTTGCATAATCACCCACAATACACCCTCCGAGTCTGTTATCCGCTCACCTTTTGCTGACCAGCTCTGCTATTGGGTTCACTTCTTGTGTCCCCTAGAGACAGGAAATCAAATGTAGATTCTATGGTGCAAATCCTCCCCAGCTTGTTTGCATAGTTAATTCTTCGATGTAAATGCCAGCCACTCACTTTGCCGCATTGTATGGTCAGTGAACAAATTTATTAACTAAAGCACTTATTGCATGTAAAAGAAGGAATCCCTTTCACATGTAAGTTGTAAACATGCCCCCTTGAGACAATAGATTCCATCAGATATCTAGGTGTCACCAACAAAAACCTAGACTAGGGAAAACAAATAAATATCAAAGCCTCTAGAGCAGGGGTTGGTAACCTTTTTGGCCATGTGAGACATATTAAGATTGAGCCAAGCACTTGTAAGCAAAAGACTTTCCAAAAAACAAAATGTTTCCTGAAGTTTGCAACATACATACGCATTCTTTGATACATGAGAAAAATGAGGAACAACCATGATTTTCAACCATGACTCAATGAGCCAAACTTTTTGGCTCATGAGCCATAGGTTCCTCATAGAGCTAAATGAGTCATTGGTCTGCTAAAATGAAATTTAAGTAAAGTCTCCAGAGGCCAAGGTGGGTAAAAGTTGTTGACAGTGACTCCTAGACAAGCTTTTTGCTTGTAGTTTCTTTATAAGCTCAGAGAGAAGGCAATAAAAAAAAATCCCAAAGATGGAGATAATCCTGAAATGAAATTATTTCAACACAGACCCACCAAACATGTCATTGAGCTACCATACTCACTGGTGGGTTGAAGGGTGAAGTTTCTCAGGTTATCCCCATTTGGGGGGCCCATTATACACATGTGCATCAAGTAAATATGTTACTATAGCTACTGTAACTTGATTCAAGTTATTAGACATTGTTCCAAAGATGCAGGAAGTCAATCTAAATGCAATGTATATCACTCCTTTTTTGTTCATTTAGATATATTGATTGTTGTGAAATTAGTTCCTTGACTGCAAGAAAAGAAAGTAGACCAACTTGAACAATGGCATCAGATAAACCACCTCCATACAGTGCAACTGCAGCATCAAATGAAGGTCAGAAAATTCATATTCTTCAGATGCATTTGTTTTCCTTGAGTTTTACAATATACTCCTAATAATTAACATCACAAAAAAAATTAAATCACAAATTGATTCGGATATTCCAGCTTCATTTATGGCATCAGCACCAGCAGATGAGGCCACCAAGGCTCAACACCCACCTCCATATGGATGGACTCCAGGAAGTTCCTCTCATGCACATCCACCTCCAACAGGATCTTATAATGCTGGAGGGACTTATGGAGCCACTGATACAAGCTACCCTCAAGCACAAGTGATAATTGTCGGAGGATGCCCTGCATGTCGTGTAAGTTTCTCATCTATGAACAATAGGATTGTAATTTGGAATAATTCCTCCTGAAGTACCCCCTTTCTCCAAGCAGTATGCATGGAAATGAGAAATTTGAAAAAAGTTTCACAGTGAAGGCCTAATGGAAAGTGTAACTTTTATGCGTTTGATGTGTACAATGATGTGTTTTATGGTGCAGGTGGGGATACTATATGATGACTTCACACTTTTGGGGATTCTGATGGCCATACTCTTCTTTCCAATGGGGATTCTCTGCTGCCTTGCTCTGAGGCAGAAGAGGTGCTCTAACTGTGGTGCTATTTATGGATGAACTTTTGATCATTCCACATAATGCTATTTTGTGATATGAGTTTGAGGCCTCTACAAGTTATATGTGACAGCTTCATACCATCATTTAAATGCTTGTCATGTCTTGATGTTTGGGCTTTCTCTCCATCCAAGCTTTGTTTTAAAATGTCACAGTGCATGTCTTTTAGCTTGTATCTGGCCTGCTGAGATTTTCCTATGCAAGGGTATAATCTGTTCTTCAATGACATCCCTCAGAAATGACAGGATATTTGACACAGGGAATGGAATTATTTCACTTGTGATCTGTGACTTCCTTTGTGTGGTTTATTATATGCAGCCCAGGAGCATTCATTGCTTGTGCTGAAAAGGATAGGCCTGGAAAGCTGAATGCTATCTCAGGATTTTCTCTGCCTTACAATGACTTTTTGCGCTTCTGGTGCTGCTACCTGCATCTGATTGTAATGTCTTTAACCCCTTCAGGAGTGGGTTTTTCTGGAGATGTGTGCATGCCTTCATTTCAAAGCTATCTATTCAAAGTCATTCACATAAAGAAGTGGGATGTACCAGTACGTCCGTACTCCTGAAAGGGTTCATTTGAATTTTTTGTCTAATTTTTGCAAGGTTTTTTGTGTATTGTATTTGATTGTGGACATTCAGAAAGGTTTGACATCAAACCAGTCTTATGTCAATATAGAGGAACTATGATTTGATAATGAGTTAAATTTATTTTTGTCCAAGAATGATGGATCAGAGGAATTATTGATTCATTATGACCAGAGCTAGCAATGCAATATTTGTATTCATTGATGCAAATGATTTGGTATTTCCAAATGCTAAAGTAGTTTAAAAGGATGTGAAATTCACATTGCTTACCTATGAGTACTTGAAATTACTACACTTCTGGATGCCAACAGGATTGAAGCTAGCATCATGATGCCTCTAATCGAGAAGAGAATTCTATGAAAACTCATGACATCGCCCAAGCTGGACGGCAGTAGGATGCTTCACAGATTTTGCTTTATTTGAATGATGATCACGAACATCAGTCTTGGGTCATTGAGTCAGAAGGTCCAGCAGTGAGCTTTCTCATTTGTGTGAAGAGTTCTTGGCACCTACATGTTTGAACTGTCAATATGTCACAGAGAAGCTGCTGGTGACAGGCAGTAGGAGTCATGATTGCTCTGTATTGGTTATGAATGAGCCCAGAAAAATCCAAGAAGCTGAAATATGTATGCGTACATGTACTGTATGTGACAAGTGTAGAGCTAGAGGCTGGAAACATCCTCTTGACCTGAGATGCATTCTTGGCACTGGCGTTGTTCATGATCGATATCAATAATGAAAGCGAAATACAGGAGAAGAAATGGTTGGATAAACGTCAAACTTCAATGGTTCCCAGGGAAAGTGGAAAATAAGGTAACAGAATCACGACGAAGCTGGCGAAAAGAGACTAGAAACTACTTTTCCACACAATGAATAGCCTCAATGAGGAGTCAAGTCTTCATCATAAGTGTAGCGTGGATGGAAGAAGTGGAAGGGACATGGGAACTCAGGGATACAGTTATGCATGTCTGGGTCTCTTTTCTTGAAAAGTGGGGGGCATGTGCTCCCCCCCCCCCCAGCGACGCTACGCCGCTGGCACCCATTGCATCCTCCATGCAAAATCCAAGAAAGGTTGAAAGTTTCCGACCTGCTTTAATATGCTCTGGCTGAGCTTTCTATCCGATGAAACCACCCTGAAAATTAAACCCGACTTGAACTCACTTTTACTCGACAAGAGCATCTGCAGTTATCCTGGACCCCAGTCGACGATCACGTCTCCAGAGTTGCCTCGATGCTGAAAGGTATCTCGTCAGAACATCGAAACGACAAACATTAGAAAAAATATTTTAGACTGTCTTGAATGATTGTCATGCTTATTATCCTACTTGCAAATTTCTGGCAAGGTTGTTCCCTATAAATAGAGTGCTACCCTCGGCGAAGGGAATTTTGTAAAATGTTAAAATAAGGCGAACTGGCGAGAAAGTGCTCGAAAGAGAACACGAGCCGCGAAACGAAGAGAAGAATAAGACTTCGCGGGAAATTTTCGAGGTAAAAAAAAACTTGGATTTAAAAAAAAATTTACTCGATTAGCTGCGCACCAGACCGAGAGAAAATGCCAACGTGATTTGGGGACCAGTCTAAACTCGACGAGTTTATGTGAGTTTTTTTTTTCAATGAATGCCGCAGGGTCGTATAGCTCCGTGAGGACACAATACAATGGCGTAGACATTACCCATTCAGCGCAACAACGTTGCCTCAACACTAATGGAAGGTTGAAATGTTGACACATGGTTGAGACATTCAGATTTAAATAGATTCCACCGATCGACGCGAGATGGCGCCTGAGCGCCGATTTAGCGATTCGAACCCTGGTGCCATTGAAATGAGTCCCCTGTATTTTTCACTCAGTACCTGAACTTTTCCCACGTACAACTTGAGGGAAGGCTTTGGAATTCCTAGATAGACCCGTTTAAGGAGGTAATCCGGCAGAAGGAGACTCCAAGTACTACTGACCAGGGGGTCCGAGGTGACACGTCCTCAATTTTCCTAAGTCTTTACGTGGCGCTTTTAGAGTCTCTGGTAGCGCTCGAGAGAGGAAACTTGACTTGCAGGGATGAGCCAGGCTTCTTCTTCCAATCTGAGATGAATTAGGGGATTGTGCGAGACATGTATCTCTGCTGGACCAAAAAGAGCTACTGTACGTCACTCAAGTACTGAACTCGAATTCTCATTCAGTAAAGGAAATACAATCTCAGCGGGTCACCTCTGTTGGGATGTTGATACTCAGGTGGGATATTGATACTCAAAAGAGTATCATCATCCCACCTGGGGATCCTTCCTTCGCCCTCCGAAGGGATCGCTTTCGTGGGGTGACATTACTTAATAGAGTAAAATAATCAATTTAATAGACACCTGCACTCTCGACACGTAATAGATATGATGTGCTCGTTCAGACCCAGGAAATGGGGGAGGAACTGTAATGCCCAAACTGTGGCAATTTAACGCTGCCACAACGAATTTTCAATGTTGAACTGTGTTTCATTTCAACATTGAGGCAACATTTTTGCGTTGAAAAATCAACCTTTGCTCTAAGTTGACACAACGTTGCTGTGCCGAATGGGTTATTGCTGTTTTCTGGGGTACTCTCGCGATCTGAACGCTCTGAAGCACCTCGGTCGATGTTTTGT